TATAACTGCGTCGTTTTTTATTTGTTGAGTGTATATATGCCCATTAATTAAATTCTATTTATTCTATTACTGGCAACTCATTGACCACCTTCAGTACATTTTCCAAACCATATTTTTCAAGTCCTGCTTCATCAACAGCACCAACAAGTTGCTGTTTTGGAGTATTCGAGGGATTACCACGAGTGAAATGGTAATAGTCGAAGGTTGCTCCCGCGTGTTTGCCGGGGGAAATTGGGGTCCCTTATTAAGTATATTATATTCAGTTTGAAAAACTCGTAAGATAAAAAAGAAATATTTATGCAAAAAAAATTTATTGATAAAATCTACAAATAAATACCAGCAAGATATATCGCAAGAGGCTTCAAAACACCATGCATCAATGCTGGTAATCCACCAATCACAAAGCTATTTTTGTCTTGGTCACCAATTTTCCAAACATTTTCTAGCAATAACATCAGATAGGAATAGGAGGCATCAAAGGCTGTGGCAATAAGTTGAATATCTGGTTTACCATCATAATTTCTATTATGATAGGAGGCGAGAGTTAAATTAATAATATATGGAAAGTGAATGTCAATTTTTTCACCCTGCAACTTACGAACTATCTGGATTATCAATAACAGGCCAGAGCTGATAATCCTTCTCACAAGAGTTTTGAATCAATTTCAAGCAGTCTTGGAATTTTTTGTAATGAGAGGCTTCGTGTTCGGCTTGCGATCCTTCCCCCTATATAATTAAAGCCATAGAAAATCACAATTGTCACGTAAGTCAATCTATACAAACCTTCCATAAAAAGCAATGTAGCTATTGGGCAATAACACTGCACCTGGACTTTAATTAATTCAATAGCCTTCTTAGCAGCCGCTAAATCTTTAATGACAATTATTCCATCGTTTCCTGTACCTGTGCTCGGAGCGTAGCCCATTCCGGCTTCAAGCTGCATACATAACGTAATTATATATCGCTGTAAATGACCAAAGGATAGCCTCATATAGAACAAGTTCTAAACTGGAAACAACTAATTACCTGAAATGTCGTTTTGTATTTAATTTCTCCCGTTAAAGTTAACTTTTCAAAACATCTTTCGATGATGTCATAGAGGTCTCCTATACTGCCAACTGAGACCTCATCAGCCACCACACTGCCAGCTGCAAAAAAATTGAAGGATAATGATACATTACAAATTTACAGTAATAATTCGCAATCTGTAAAATGATAAAGAAATGTAAGTACCTAAAGGCGATGTACGTAATTTCATTAATTTATGAAATATAGGTTTAGAGTGTTCCATTAATAATTCATCGGGTTTTTCAATGTTTATAAAAGTTTCGATATTAGTTTCATCTGCTTTTGACAAATTAACCATAACTTCACCTATATTTGAAAATGAAATATGATTTGAGTTTCACCTCGAAAGCAATATGGTGAACATGTTTTTTGCAAATAGTGACTCCATCAGGAAAATAAATCTTACATAAACCTACGTAGGGTTCAGAATTGGCCAGCATTATGTCGATATTTTGGTAATCCTGTTAACATTTCCGCATAATGCTGGTCAGTTTTAAACCCTACGTAGGTTTACATGAGATTTATTTTCCTGATGTCGATTGAACTAATTATTTCAATAAAATTTACCTTGGCTAACGTGGGGCAAGGGGTTCGGGTAGGAAGGAATTGCTTCCCGAGAATAGAAGACAGGCTTATATTCTGTGTTTTTAAAAAATTTGTTCATCATAAATAATTGTCATTATATTAATCAAAATGCACATTGTAAAAAAATTATTTTCAATACATACTATCATCAATAGCAACAATAAGATTTGCTACAAGGGATACATGTAACATTTCCTCCGCAGCAACTTGACGAATTAGTTTTATCACATGGTTACTAGTAATACACATATCATGCGGATCTTCTCCTGGCTTTATCGAGTACAAAGCGTATAAATATGGTGGAATAGTGGTGAGTTCAATTTGCAATGCGATTTGAAGGAGATCATAAAGCTGTTGTGGAAATAGGAAGAAAGAATGTTAATCTGGGTTGTAATATTGAACTGTAATAAGATAGCAATAAAGCTATAAATGAAACTCACATCATCTATGGTTATGTTGGTTGCTATATCACTATCACTAGCGTCATTGTAAATTTTACCGCGTTCGACCTCATGAAATATTTTTGTACTTTCATCAATCTTCTTCTCGATAACAAATCCCAACCTGAAAAATTCAAAAGCAACGAAACAATTTCAAGTAAGAATACGCTGCGAGTATAAATGCAATGACATATCTACTTGCCTATCCCATGCCTTGACCATATCCATGTTACCCCATTTAGGTTTATCTGTTCTTGGGTCATCGACTCTGAATCCGCGGGTCCAATCTTGAAAGTGTTTTGAAGTAATTTTACATCCTTTTCCCATAATTTCTTCCGTCTACGGTTAATCATAATTTAATTATCTTAAAAATAAATAAAATTCATCAATCTCAAATTACCAGTATTTCTTGTGAGATCACGACATCGGGTCTTTGAGCTGGCCACCAGTTGTCACTGCAATCATTAAAATCAGCTTGCCAAGGTAAAGCCATGTATGCGTTAATATCTCCAGGTTCAGTACTTTCATTAATTCTTCAAAAACGAAAAAAATGCAAGAATTAAGAATAATGGATCAATTATCAAATTCTTCAAGTCAAGTATGAATATGTGTATCGTGCATACCTAAATTCATATTTATTACTAAATGTATGACTACAGTATGCAATGAAGGTCATTTCAATTCCAGGATAGAATGCTCCTCCGACACACCATTCAAGCGGAGCTTTTTTAAGATTTTCAACTTGATCAGAAACATCAGTGATAACTTCTTCAAACTCCTTGTACTCTGGTGTTCCATTGCTTTCCTTTTTATACTTTGGGTATCTGCCTGTGCCTTCTCTTAAAAATTGATAGTCGTACTTGGTGGGTTCGTTACTTTCGTTTACTTCAAAATCACCCTTAGCCCACTTTTCTAAGAGACTAATGAAAAAGAAAAAGGTTAATTTAAAGTCAAATGACATAAATTCTAATGTAATGTTTACCGGTATTGTCCCGCAGTAACAGTCAAAAACGTATCTGGATCAGAAGGTACGACACTTCCATTATTGCCAGACAAAGGCGGCATAAAACAGGAGAGACCGTCCTATATAAGGAATGGATTTTCACAATTGATTTCAATTTTTTTTATACAGTTTAAAATACTT